CTTTTCTTAAAACAGTATCAGATAGGTGTAAAATAATTGAAGTGTATGCAAGTTCATCATACTCTTCTTTTTGTACTTCTGTTAAATTTGCAGGAAATTTGCCATCTATGGCCTTTGAAACTTTTTGTTGGACCAAAATACCCTTCATCTTTTGTTGCCAAATTGAAAAATCCCTTTTCCCATTAAAAATTCCAACTTCAAAGCGTGAAAACATTTTTAAAAAACTAGAACAACCAAAAGCACAGATAGGTCACACAAAGTTATCCTACGGCCGCAATATACACCGTTCTAGATTCTCAGGGTTTCGTAAGATTCACGATCTTAGATGAAGGGAATGTTCGAACGGGTCAAGTCCAGGTATTCTAACAGGAAAATCAATGCAACACGAAGGTATGTAAATAAAAGTTCGAATTTCCACGCAACAAGTCTCACACAGTGACTATATGACAGGTAAAGCACAAAATCAACTACCAACTTGCAATCAAAACTCAACACTTCAAAAACAGAGCAAATAATTCCTAAATTTTCTAGCACAAGCAATGGTTGCCAAGCAATGACAACCCCCAATCCTAACGATCACCCCACACGATGATCTGCTAATGCTGAAATTTAAAACTAAGTTAAGCCAATATATCATAGCGGACTATCTGAGTCCGTAAATTATGAGAGTTACGAATTTATCACTTTAGGACCACCACTATTCGTCCTAAAGTCTCTGGAAACTGCATCAACCAAAAAATCACGATCGAGTCCCGAACGCCCGAAGAACAATGCTGTCTAGATTCTTCTGCGTACCCTGAAACAGAAAACTTTCAACACAAAAAATGTCCGAAATAATATAAGGAACAAACTGCCTGAAGAGACCGTCGCCAGAAAACGTTTCACGCGCCCGCACACGCCGTATCTTCCCTCTGCGTGTGGTCCTCACGCACCACCACATGCGCCGCCGTCGTCCAACACGTGCCGGCCTGCAGGGTTCCCCTCCTCCTGCACGTCACGCCAGTGGTCTCCGTTTTCCCAAACTCCTTCTGGATTGATCAGAAAATGCGAAAAACAGAGACTGATTTAAACAGTTTTTGGACAGCTTCTTCGATCTGATTTCTGCTGCGTTTCTGCCAATTTTCTGGACGATTTCTGGTAGATTTCACGAGCCAAAACCTTCACCTTGAAGCTCTGATACCAATTGTTGCGGAAGCTCTCTCAAAAGGATCTTCAAACGGTGGTTTTCCAGGCTAAGTCCAACGTACCTTTCTCTACCAACAACCAATCCAAACGGCTCCAAACCACAACCAATTGATTCATTTTGGTTGCTATTCAATCTTACCCACGTAGGACAAGATAGGATGATGATTTATGGCCATAAAGGCTAGGAGAAGACACCACAAAGATACACTATGAAAGAACCACCAATTACACACGTTATACAAGCGTTCTTGACACTTCTGGACACCTTTTTCTCACACAAAAGGGGAGCAGCCGGGATTCTCTTGTTTCTTCTCTCAAAATCACACAATCATCATATCAAAGAGGCTAGGGTTATATTCATATATATACTCTAGGGTTGGGCTTTAAGTTGGGCCATTAAAAGGGTAAACGGGACAAGATTCAAGCCATCCATAAGGAATACAATTGGCCCGGGTGTAGCTCATGGACTTGGTTGTTGGACTTATTTCATTCATCGACCTATGCTAATGAAATAATATTAACCTACGTTAACATCATAGCCCAAGATTTATTGGGTATCAAAAACCCAACAGTTGGTTAGGGATAAAGCCAAAATGTTCAAAATATCTTAAACTTAGTCATAAATATCTAAAGAACAAAAAGATTCTATCCTTTATCTTCTGCATTCTTCTATTGACAAATTAATTCACATACTTTCAAAGAAAATTCCTTCTTTTAGACAAAACAATCGGACGAATCCCTAACTACCTCTACCCTCCAACTAGTATCTATTCATTAACACCCCTTCCGTTTTAGAATGATTTGTTTTAAAATCAGCCGTCCTGTTATAACTATATGATGTATGTATCAATATGAAATATTTCATTATTATTTTATTACAATGTGCAACCAAAGTACTACATTTTGGTGGGTTATTCCACTTAGAAAATGATTTAAATTTGATTCATTGCCAGACAAATAGAATAACATAATTCTTCATATGGGTCATGAGTATAATACACACATGCAACGTCACTCCAATATTGCACATGTCATGGTTGATCTCATCCTCTTATTATAATGTGTCCATCCATTATAAATACGCAATGAAAAGTGCATATTTCTATCCGACGTTAAAAGTATTAGTATCATTATCTTAAACATTGGGTTGATATTATAATAGATCCATCCATTATAAACACCCCCAATGAAACTTCTATCCAACGTTAAAAATGTTATTATCAATATCTTAAAAATTGAGTCGATGATAGACTCAAAAAAAGATGGGTCGGGAGTATGATACACCTACACAATTACTCCAATATTGCACATGTCATGGTTGACCACATCCTCTTATCATAATGGGTCCATCCATTTGTAAGTACCCCAATGAAAAGTGCATATATCTATCCAGTGTTAAAAATGTTAATATCAATATCTTAAAAATCGAGTAGATGATAGACTTAAATTAGATAATTGCTATTTATATCAATATCCAGTATAAATATATTAAAAACAAAAATATTAAGGCGAACTAATTCGTCCTTAAATTGTTTTAAACCATTTTTATTTTTTCCTATTCTTTTTAGGTTATACCTAACCCATTTCAGAACTGATCGACAATTTTATTAGTTGATTGGTCCAATTTTCGTGAAATTGGTTAATATTTGATAAGATAATGAATGACTATGACATCTCATTATTTAATAAGCACAAAAAATCATGAGGCCCTGAAAAAATTTCTTAAGTTGTAATTAAAGACGTCATGAAAGCTTGAAAATGATATTTAGCTAAAACAGAAATGAAAAACAGATGATAAGTATAACATTAATTAAAAGTCCTATCATATATTCATATGAATGGATTTATTAGAATGGGGATATTCTTTCATTTTATATTACTCAATCATCTATCATGGTTTTCTGATCTATAAATTAGATTAACCATACTTTGAGGAAAAAATCTATAATGTTTTTCGAATATAAATATTTTTTTTATATGGCATTTAGTTTCGTCGTCCAAAGTAAACAATTTCTCTAGAAATTCTTTGAAAATCGATCACGTTATAAAAGAATCTTTAAAACGATATAGTGAAAAATATATAGATCATACAAAAATGCTTACTAAGGAAGTTATTTGATATAACAAAATACGTGTTACAAAAGGAAAAAAATCTATTTACAATAATGGACTTTAAAACAAAGATAATACAACAATATTAATTAGCAATATTAATTACCGAATGAGGTACTTAGGAAATAATTTAAAGGCATCAAAAAATATGAAAGATTCTACACCAATTATAGAATAGGGATGGCAAAAGTATCCGTCAAATCCAATACTCGCAAGACCCCGCCCCAAGCGGAACGGGAATTATAGGGCTGAACAAAACTCCCGAATTGAACCGACCGAACAGAACCCGAACCGAACAGAACCGAACGCGACGGTTCTTCTCAAGTTAAATACCCGAACTGACATTTGAATCAAGAACCGACAAATATGGTTCGGTTCTAGGTCAAGACCCGAAGAATTGAATAAGAACCAAATCTCCGTAATTTTTTTAATTAATTTATTTTAAATAAATAAAATTATTTTATTTTTTTTTTTGAATAAATTTGTTAACTAGTTAATTTAGTTCAAATCATAAAATATGATTTTCCTATTTCTAATTTTCAGTTCAAAATCAACTTAATCAAATTGACCTCAATTTTATCCAAATCTGTTATTATACTGTAGTGTCGTTTCTACCGGAGAAAACCGAATTAAAACTTTACAACATCTCTCTTAATTATTTTGAGCTCGCTATTTTTCTCTTTTTGTGATTTTAATAATCAAATTTATGAAAAATTCGGCAAAGAGAGACGTGAAACACATAAGATTGAACTACGTTATTTTGTAAGAGCTAATATTGAACATATCATTAATTATATTAATGTAACTTTCTATAAATTAAAAAATTTAATTTACAGAACCGAACCCGAACGATTCCGTAATTAAATTTGGACCCGACGGTTCTACCCCCAAAAATTTCGGATCGATTCGATTCTCATTAGAATCGAACAGAATCGGACCATATCGAGCCCTAGGGGATTATTCGCTTAATCGCTTAGGGTACGAGGAGAGGGATTTTGCCCCGAGGCAAGTACGGGGGCCCTGCCCCCTTAATTTTATTTATTATTTATTTTGTTAAAAATTCAACACTTTAAATAAAAAATATACTCCACAAAATTTCATTAATTCTAATAGAAGATAGCAATTAAGATTATTTACAAAATATGATAAACAATGAAAACCTTAGTTTACCAAATATATTCGAATAATTTAACTTTTAAAAATAAATAATTTAATTAAAAAATTTAATAACTATATTATTATCTCACTTGAATAAATGGGGGAATAAAATGAATTATCAAAAAGTAGAAAAAATTAAATTAGTACGTAAGCCGGGCAACCACCCCGTCTTGCCTGAAATGGTCAACGGTGTGAGTATAGGGAAGGAAAATGATCAACGGGGCAGGGGACGGGGCAAATCGAACTCGTCATGTTGCCATCCCTATTATAGAATCAATATACTAAAGAAATAATTTGGAAAATAATGGATAATATTTTGCGTCCAATAGTAAACAAAGAACTTCATCAAATAGGAATAGGAAGGTGCATTTTGTCCAAAAAGTATTTAATTTGCAAAATTTAATTTTAGCAATCATTATAAGGCATTCTAAGGTATGATGACAGCATTATTTTTTAACTACACACACATGTAAGTAGGTAGGTAGGTAGGTGTATTTATACACACACACATACATATATGTATGTATGTATATATATGTATGTATTCTCAACAGAAATGAAACCAAATACAATGGAGAAGCTTCTCCTTTTCATTACTTTCTTTTCATCGTATTTTACTGCACTGAGCTTCGGAAAAAATCAAATCGAAGCTCTTTCCCATCTTTATGAGGCCAAGCTAAGGAGCAATTCGACCATCGACAAAAGTCATTTCATTGCAAGTCATAATTTTCTTGGCACAGAAGTCAATCCTCAGAATGAGATGAAAGAAAGGGATAGGATTGAGAAATTGCCAGGACAGCCACCCGTTCGATTCAAACAGTACGGTGGATATGTTACAGTGAATCAAAAGGCTGGCAGAGCATTTTATTATTATTTTGCAGAGGCTCAGCACTCTAAAGAATCTCTGCCTCTTCTTCTTTGGCTCAATGGAGGTATGGACTTTGTAGTTTTTCTTCTTTTTTTTTTTTTAGCCGATTTCGTGTCAATTATTTGGTGGTTTCTCTCTCACAAAACATGCGCACACACAAATACATATATCACATGAACACATTATATTAAAAACACCGTTTCTCTAAGATCTTGAAACGGGAATTAGATATTGTACACAGTATGAACAGAAGTTTATTTATTTATTTATTTTGCTTCTTTAATATTGTTCCTTATAAACCTGTCTAATTACAAAGTATTTAAAGTTTTTTTTTTCCATTTTTTATGTATTAAAGAAATTGATTGAGTTAAATTATTAGTGCTATTCCAAATTTTAGGGAGTTATCAGTTAATTCTTTGTTAAAAAGTTGTTTCGCATGGATATATATTGTTTTTCTTTATATTTTTTTTTTTTATTTTAAGTAATAAGCAAGATAAGAACAAAGACTTGACTCATTTTCCTAGGCATTAATTAAGCACATGACTCATTTTTTCTAGGCATTAATTAAGCACATGACTAACTTTCTACAAGTAAGCCATAGATTCCCTTCTTTTTTTTCTTTTTTCTTTTTTTTTTCAAATTTTTTTTTCCCTTTCTTCATTTGAAATACATATTTTTTAATAAAATAATATTACATACAAATCCAACATTAATCTTTATTTTTTAACTACATATTCTTCATCAATATATTATTTCAATTCTCACCCAAAAAAGGGTTGAAACTTGACCTAAGTAAATTCTTTTGATTATTCCATGTATTTTCTTTTGTAAAAAGTTAAAATTTTCAAAAGTTTTCACATTATTTACAAAATAAATAAATTTTTTATTTTCAACTTTAACCAATAAAAATATTACTATATTAGAAAATTTTAGTCAAAGTTTATACTAATTTCAATGTACTAATAATTTCCTGAAATCCACTTCTATTCTTCTTAGTGTTGTTTCTTTATAAATAATTTATGAATTTGTCAATGGATGATTAAATTACTTTCCTTCTATAATTTTCTTATGATGGGAATATTATTAAATAGCACTTACTCATTATCAATTTTTGATTTGATTATTTTGTTTAACAGGCCCTGGTTGTTCTTCTCTTGCCTATGGAGCAATGCAAGAGCTAGGACCATTCCGTGTTAAAAGCGACGGCAAAACCTTGTTCAAAAATAAATATGCATGGAACTATGGTGTCTCGACTTAACGACATTTTTCCATCAAAACTTAATAGAATCAATTTGTAATTATCTAACTATTTCCTTTTTAATTTCTCAGCAGCAAATTTGTTATTTTTGGAGTCTCCTGCCGGGGTTGGGTTCTCATATTCAAACACGACGTCAGATTATGAGAAGAGTGGAGATCGAATAACAGCCAATGATAATTATATTTTCTTACTGAATTGGCTAGAGAGATTTCCCGAGTACAAAAACAGGGATTTTTACATTTCTGGAGAGAGCTATGCTGGTCATTACGTGCCTCAATTGGCTCATACCATTCTTTACAATAACAAGAAGGTCAACAAGAACGTTATTAATCTCAAAGGAATAATTGTAAGTCTCTCTCTCTCTCATTAGAATATTTTAGCCCTTGATGAATGATTGATTTCGTTCTTGCTTGGACATGGAAAAATGATTTAAGCTTTGTAGTATTAGAACAAGTCTGTAGACAACTCATTTCATCAGTAAGACCTTAACGTTTGAATTATTCTAGTGGCCCCTCTCCTCACATGCTCGAAATAAAGGCATGTTCAAGGATTTCTTAGCAATTTGACAATAGCGTCCAAATCATGTTGAATCTTCTTGGTTTGGTACAGAAAGGACACCTTATGTGCAAAATTTTCTTCGACCATTTTCTGCCTTAAAATAAAATAAATTTGTCTGATGTTAACTCTATAATGTAAATGTATAAATTATTAAAAAAGAAATAAATTTATTTACTTAATCTAAATCCTTATTTTTGAGTCAATATTTTTTTCCACTAAATCTTAATATGTGCCTAATTTTTCATACTGAGTAACTACAAGACTCGAATTCATAATTTTTATATGAATCACTTTATCTAAGAATTCGAAACCATTAAAAATGATACTATTTTGATTATGTTATCTAGGGACTCTAAAGCTCCTTCGCACCTATGATTGTTGCCAGGTCAATTTTGGCTGCTAAATCCAACAAGGCCCCCATCTAAATTTCCACTTTGTGTGGAGCAAAGTCTTTGTTTTGTTATTTTCATTTTCCCATACAAAGAAGTTGTGGGAATCTTTCCAAGTCAAAAAGTTTGGGTTAGTTTTTTTTCACAAAAAAATTCAATACGTACACAAGTTTAATGAATGAGTAATAACGAGACTTAATTATATAAAGTTCAAACTTTTAACGAAGGAACAATTTTTTTTTACATTACTTCATTAGATTTATATTCATATATAAGTTGTCTTTCCATTATTTATTTTATTTTAATTTTTTTATAATGCAGATTGGAAATGCTGTAATCAATGACGAGACAGATAGGAGAGGGATGTATGATTATTTTGCAAGCCATGCATTAATATCCGATGGGACTTGGAATAAAATCCAAAAATACTGCAATTTCACCGCCGATTCCTCTGAAGATTCTGATGAATGCACTGATGCAACTACTGAAGCAAAGAGAAATGTAAATAGTATCGACATCTACAATATCTATGCTCCCTTGTGCTCTAATACCAGTCTTACTGACAAGCCCAAAAAGGCTTCGGTAATTATTACTATTAAATTAATTTCTTATATGCTAGATTGGTCACTAGACAAGATAATTTAATTTTGTCACACGTCACATATGAAAAGAAAAATATTTTGAAATTTATGAAGTATGGTTCGTTATTCATAAATTTGAATGCAGATTGAAAATATGGATCCATGCAGTGAATATTATGTGTATGCTTACATGAATCGGCCTGATGTTCAAGAGGCACTCCATGCCAATGTTACCAAATTAGATCATGATTGGGAACCATGCAGGTAGCTATTATTCACTCTGATTTCATCAGTTTTGCTCGAATCTATCTTTTATTTTGATAAAATTAAAGATTTTCTAGGTTTTAACATGTACTAAATAACAGATTTCTAGTAACATTACTTGAGTAAATCATATGTACATCCCAAATTGTTGTCACTTGTTCATGATTTATAATAACTGCATTTGATATTGGATAATTCAATTTTGATTCTTCTGGTTATAATATTTTCACACACTATAGCTGAAGTTATCTCATCTGATTAAAATGCAGTGATGTCATAAAGGATTGGGGAGATAGTCCATCGACAATTCTTCCTCTACTAAGAGAGTTCATGGCTAATAGACTTCGAGTGTGGATATTTAGGTAATTTCATCCCCTAACTCGTGGTCTTCATCTTCTACTGACTGTGAAAATTAAATTTTCTGCCATTTTAGAATTTCATACCATAAAATAAAGAAAATTAGAATCAATCTCCAACTTTCACCATAGCTGTATGATGAGTCCCTAATGATGGATACTGTAAAAAACTCCGTTAAATTGTCACATGGTTCTAGCATGTCCAACTTTAGGAAGTTAGATTTTGCTTTTCGATTTGGATTGGTGCCTAAAAAATTGGAGTTAGACATGTTTATATAAGGGCAACTTGATAATTTTAACTAGGATTTGGATGGTTTCTGTATTTTAGGATTGTGTTTGTGACTATAAAAGTATATTGAAGACCAATTAGTTCATTTCAAAGGTTGGTGGACAATTTTCTATTGGGAATATGGTTTCGCGAACCAACAACACATGTTTTGTGTGTATGGAAGACATGTTTCAATTGATTAGATCTTTATTGATATCTAATGCAGTGGTGATACGGATGGAAGAGTACCAGTAACTTCAACGAAGTATTCCATTAATAAGATGAAACTTGAAGAAACAACTATGTGGCGTCCTTGGTTCCTAAGTGGAGAGGTAAGTAAATTAACACTTAACATCAATTCAACCCAACAAATATGATCTTCTACTAGTCATAACAATAAAATGAAACAAATAAAAAAAATTATTCATAAAAATTTCTTAAGAATATGAATTTGATTTTCAGGTTGGTGGGTATACACAAGTTTATAAAGGAAACATAACATTTGCCACAATTCGAGGGGCAGGGCATCAAGTCCCCAGTTACCAACCTGCTAGAGCTCTTTCGCTGATTAAGCACTTCCTTGGTGGAACTGACCTCAATTCTTCTAGACAATAATGAAATCCATGATTGTTCAATGCAATATGTAATGAAAACTTTGGCTCCATCTGTTCAATTCTTTCAACCAAAATAATGAAATCCATGATTGTTCAACGAAATATGTAGTGAAAACTTTGGCTCCATCTGTTTAATTCTTTCAACCAAAATAATGTCCTATGCGGTAAATATTTAATGTTGCACTAATTAGTTTTGGTTTGATTAACATGATGATTATTACTTTACATGGTACGTTTCCAATGATAGACTTGACACAATTGTGAACGAATTTAACCCCTATTTTGTAGATAAAATCAGATCTTTAGTTGATTTTGATAAACGTTGAAGAAATGTGTAGTTGAGAAGTTGTGGATCCTATAAAATATATAATTAAAATTAAATTACAACCAACATAGGCTTAGTCAAATGAGATATTAGCACAATTATCGTTTGGTTGAAATTAATTTTTCACCTTTATTTTCTTTAGTTATATGCAAATGTATCCAAACTGTATAGCAAAGTCACAGTTAATGTATCAATTTGTTTATTTCGACCATGTTTCTGATTTTACCGATTCAAATAATCAAATAACTTATATAAATTAAAGAAAACACCAAGATTTTTTCGTTTGTTGGCCCGAACGTTCCATTGAAAAGGGTTACTTACCACGTTGAGCATTCAAACTTGAAGGCGGGTAAATCACTTAGAGCTAGCGGTGGCAATGGGCTGAGCCGAGCTGGCTCGGTCCTCAAACACACGAGCTCGGCTCGTAACTTCAGGGGTTCAGCTCGGCCCTTAAACACATGAGCTTGGCTCGTCACTTCAGGGGCGGCTTGGCTCATGAGCTCGTTGATTTTCCCTTTTTTATTAAATAGATAAAAATAAAATATAAACCCTTCTCCTTATTCAAGCTTGGGACAAGCTACGTAAATTTTGAGTAGGCGGAGAACTTGTAAGGTATAAAAATTTTTAAAGAAAATTAAAAGTTACGATTAGAAAATTAGAAAATTTTGATTAATATGATTAAATTAAATATAATTTACTTGATGATATGCAAGTTCGGCATATTTATCCTCTGAACACACCCACATGGACATGGACGAAGTCGTAGAACTAGCGCCTAAACTGTCAAATTACAATTGTATTTGACCGGCTAGAAGAAATTCATGTTTGGCCGCACATGCTTTGTAGTGGCGATTAAGGTGGGTGGTACCAATTCCTTTTTGCCATATCAATCTTTGTTGGCAGTATTTACAAACTGTTTTAGATTCGGTGACTCTATTGACAACTTTTTCGGTTGAAATTAACTTGAAGTGATCCCAACATTTTGCTTTTTTTTCCCCTTTCGCTTTTCCCTCACATCGGGAATGTTTAATTCAGCTTCTTCTTAATGTTCCGCTTCGGGAACGTCTACATCATCCAAATCAATTGGATTATTACTTCCATGAGCACCCAAATCTGGAATATCTTCAGGTATGGGTACGCCATTTAAACTAGAAAATTCATTTCGAAATTGACTTTGTGGCATCACAGGCGATTTGCCTCTTCCCATACCAAACAAGCTTTCAACAAATGAGTGTGGACTCATTTGTTTGTGATGAAATCGAAATGTAGTAACTCGTAAGTATAAATGTAAAATAGTTAAAGTATAAAAGTAGCAAAAATAAATGTAGACTTGAGAGAGAATTATTGTATAAATGTAGAAAAATAAATGTAGATTTGAGAGTTGAGAGAGATTATGTATTTGCTGTGAAGATGAAAATGGGCGGTGATGTATGGGTATTTATAGAAAAAATCTTGGGAAAAAAAGTTTGTGGCCATTTTGGCCACTATTCATAGCTCAGTGACCGTTAGATTAATAACCATTTGTAGTGACCATTGCAAACAGTCATTGAACTATGTACAGTGACAAAAAATGGTCACTTTCTCTATAAAGTTTTTTGTCACTGTAGCTACACGAGCCACGAGCCTCACTCGTTTCTTGCGAGCCCAAGAGGTCGGTTAGTGGATTCGCCAACAAGCGCTTGCCTGTTTGGCGAGTAGAGTCGGTTTGGCTCCCCAAATGGGCGATCGAGCTCCACTCGAGCTCGGACTCGTTATTTTACGAGCCTGAGCGGGCCACTAGCCTGGTTTTGACGAGCAGAGCAATAGAGCCGACGAGCTACTCTGATCAACTGCCATCTTTACCTAGAGCACTATAGCGTAACCTTCCACAGCAAAGGTTTTACAAGATGGCACAACACAGAACACAACACCCCCAAATCGAGACCCCTAAAATCAAGTTGTGAACTGAGAAACCTTCTAACCTCTAAATATTACAGAGTATTCACCAAGAATCACAGGAAACAAATATCTGAAAAACTATTCAAAGAAAAGAAAAAGATGATAGAGATTCCAGATACTTCAGAAATTGTTTCTAGAGAGAAATATGAGAGCTGCTATTATTTCAACTAAACTCATTGTCCTTTAACTTGGTTTCACCCAAACACGTTTTAACAAAAGGAATGGATTAGTCACATTACACTTTCTCAACATGTTCCGCCTTCAAAATCTTCATTTTCTCACTTACCTGCACGGACATCAGCCAGAACCCAAATTCAGTAACGTTAAATAGTCGCTGAAGTTGCCTACTGGCCAGGAGGACCTATTAAAAATATGTTGTTCAAAATCAATAAACATGTGTGTGGAATGGAATGAACAAAATTGGAACATAAAACCAAAAATCGGAGGCCCAAGATGAATGTCATGCGACCGTATAGTAATAGGCCACAACCTGTAACTGGAAAGGCCAGTTTGAAGAACTCCATGCGACCACATGGAGTTATACCATGTGGTCGCCTGGTACAACGAATTAATTGTTGGGTAGTTTTTCGACGATTTTCGGTTGGTTTGTTGGCGGCTTTTCACTTCTATTTGGCACCACTTCATGAAGCTATGTTCCATAGCTATAAATTGGTGGCTTGTAATCATTAGAATAACAAGAAAAACATTTGAAAACATTTTAATCAATATATTCATTCCACAAAGAAGAAATCAAACTTTTCTTCAACCATATTCATATTCCCTTTGTGTTCTTCAAGTTTTGGAGAATTTATACAAATGCTTAACTATTTATTCTCTACAAGGCTTGATTACTCCTACAAACCATTTGCCGTGAAACTCTTTAAGCACCAAAATTATATACGAGAGGAGGCAAATATTGTTTGAAGATAGCAATATAATGTTGTGTTTGAGCCTTCATATTTATTTAGGTTTTTTTCATTATTTTAATCTTCTTGAATTTCCATTTCTCGGTTTCTTCTCCGAACCCTGGTGTGATAATTTCCCAACAATCTCAAACGAAATTTTGCGATGGAAAATGGAACCACTATGGCGTAAATCAAGTTGATGAAATCAAGATCTTGTTTTGGATTGGTTGATGGGACAAATTCTGCCAAAGAAATTTGGAACGCTTGGAAAGAAAGGATTGAATCCGGCTTGCCGCAAAAAGGAGAAACTCTAGATCTCAAGATAAGTGCTATATAATTCATTTAATTTGTTAAATGATAGATGATGGTTATATTGTTGAATGGCCAAATATCCATGCCTGCCTATGTGTGTATTTCCATAATTGACCATGATTCTGTGTGCATAATTTGCGTGGACAAAACGGACCAAAATTTTGCTTACGAATCTGGAATTGGTATATGTCTTGAGAATAAAATGTATACACAGTATTGGCGTAATTCCCCAACAATCATATAGATGAAAGTTTGTTTGCAGTGCATAAAACATTTTGTTAGAAATTGATAGTGTCACGCACTAAATCTCGTATTGATTCCTATTTATATATCTAAATATACTAAAGGAAGATTGTATAATATGCATATAACTATCAATAGCATTTCATTGGAAAAGTCATGCGTATTAAATATGATAGATTCATGTTTCGATCTTACGTGGCTACAATTATTAATAGAAGATGATTTATCTTTGAACATATACACAAGGCATCGAAATGGTGCATTTCCAATATTATATCCATCTATTTGTTTTCTGGTTTATTCTCGCCACCAATGGAGAAAATGCATATAAGACTTGTATAATTTATTTATTTGATAGATAATGGATGGCTGCCAGTGCGTGCCTCACTGCCTTTGATTTTATAACTGTTTGGCCGATGACTTTTGAATGTTTTGTTTATCTATATTCCATTGGCCAATTGGATATTTGCACAAGTCTCTGCATAAATGGAATTAATGCATGTAAGTGTGATACAATTCATTTACACATAGAGACAATTAATTCATTTATGAAAAAGTGGAGGAAGTTGCCCAACCACCGGCTTATTACAATAGGGAGTATGCGAAATGGGTGTGGCATATTAAAATCACTATTAACAGATTCATGAAGATGGGATCACAGTACGTGGTCATACAAATTGGATAAACTTGTTGGTCAAAATGGCCTAGTTGGTATGTGCAAGTGCTTATTTGATCTTGACAAATGTACTTGCACGAAGGAAAATGTGTGTTCCTTCCTTGAGAATATTTGAGTATATTAATCGTACTTGCTTACTTAATGATGCATCATGATATTGCATATGTTGCATAAGGGAAAGTTCTAAAGTATTAGAACTTTATGAAAGAAAGTATGTGAATTTTCATGACCATTTCTTCTACTAGAAAATTAAAAATGGCATGATTAATTTGTTTGATTGATTTTATGTTTTGTTGAACCCACAATAACTTGGATTAATGTTGATAGCCTCATTTAATTCTATGCAATTAAGTGAGATTGCATATGAGTATGACAAAATGTGATTTTGTCCGAATATGAATAAGGTGAATACATATGATATGCTGCTATCTTATGAAGGTCATGAATGTGATAAATTGACAATTGGAAATTGAGAGGCTTAGTCTTATTCATTGATTGAATTTACTTCAATTGTAGAACCAATTGAGTTGATTTATGCTTGAAAAAATATTAATGGTCTATGAGATGACCTTGATCAAATTGTGTGATCAAAACTAAAGATAGTTGGATTGAAAGTCATTGTGACTTAACGACCACTATCTGAATATGCTTAAACTTTCACGAATGTTATCAAAGTAAATTGAACTATGAATGAGTTTAATGAACCCCATGTTCAAGTAAAATCCTA